CATTTCAGCAGATTTTTGATAATATTCGAATGCCTTCTGTCCATCTTTTTCAACTCCAATTCCATGACGATAACAATCACCAAGATTAAATATTGCAACAGCATTCCCCATTTCAGCAGATTTTTGGTAATAATTGAAAGCCTTATGTCCATCTTTTTCAACTCCAATTCCATGATAATAAAAATATCCTATCATATTTGTTCCATAAGCGTTACCCATATTTGCAGATTTTTGATAATAAATGAGAGCCATATGTTCATTCTTTTCAACTCCAATTCCATGATAATAACAATCTCCAACCATATTAGTTCCATAAGCGTTACCAATCTCGGCAGATTTTTGATAATAAATGAAAGCTTTATGTTCATCCTTTCCAACTCCAATTCCATTCCGATAACAATATCCAACCTTATTCATTCCTATAGCATTTCCCACTTCAGATAACTTCAAATAATATTCAAAAGCTTTCATCTCATCTTTATCAGTACCTATGCCACATTCGTAACAAAATCCAAGTTTGTATAAACCATCAGAATCACCACGTTCAGCAAGTTTTGAATACCATTCAAATGCTTTTTTTAGATCTTCGGCAGTTGCTTGACTGTTTTGATTATGGTCATATGTGATATTTTTAAGTGGTTGACCAAATAAATTATATGTAACTGTTTTTTCTCCTATATCCACTTTAAAATTATTTATATCATAGGGACAAATAATACATACGTATAAGCTTAATTGTGTAAGTTTTAGAATTTCTTCATCTAAGTTTATCCCTGTCATTTTTAAACAAAGAACGCATTCTGTCCATTTTAGTATTTTAATGCTCAGTGCTGGAGGATTGTTAAGAGGTGGATCAAACGAAGAAATCAGTAAAACAACGTCATTCTCAGACATTATATATGGCAAAGAAATATAAACCAAGTCTGTTTTTGGGTAAACAGATACGTGCATTTTATGCAAGTCAATATTTGTTTTTAGATGTTGTGAACTAAAGGCTCCTAGTTTTTCAGGTTTTCCTACAATTAGCCATGCTACATGACTAAAAATGAATAGTGCAATTATTTATGACATAAATTTGTGTTTGTAATTTTTTTTAAAATAAATTAAAATATTAAAACTATACTCACGGTTTTTTTACATTCATTGCTGTTTCTTGATTAAGAATAATAAATGCAGAAAACCCATCATAGTCAAATAGATCAAATCTTACATTTCCGCCTTCTAATTTCTTATTATCGTCATCAATAACATGCCCAAAAACTTGAAAGTAATCATCATTTAAATGTACATTAAAATCAATACGGATTTGTATTTCAGTGAGATCTTTCTTGCTCATATTAATAACCTTGCTCATATCAACTGCTGTAAGACCTGTTAATAAGATTCGAATATTTAATCTATTTTCCAAAATTATTTCGATTTGATGTTGTAATTCCTTATCTAAAATTTTGTATAATGGAGAAATTTGGTCCGTTCTAACGTCATCTAACAGGCTATGGTCATTGTTATACTCAGCATACCAATCATAAACTTGACTTAGTTTTAGTATATTTCCGTTTGATTTTGTTAAATATTCAAATTTCATATTTAGTTCTTCAAATGCTTTATTAATATCATCTCTTAACGGTGACTCTAAAGAAATTTCATGAGGAAAATTATTTGCCGAGTCGTTTAGCTTTTGTGAAACTTTTCTGAGTTGCCTGCCCAAAATGATAGTCTGTGGTAAAAGATGACCAAACTCATTAAACACGTCTTGAAGTGCATGATATGGACGAATGCTATTAAGAGCAACCTTTACGGCTCGTATAAATTCTGGATGAGGTTTAATGTAAGATTTGAAAGGTTTTAAAGAAATTTTAAAAATTTCATGTCTTATGAAGAAATAATTCATGTCGTTGGTTTTCGAAGTTGTCATATCAACAAATGGAATTGAATCTGATTCATATATCATGTTTTGCCTTAATAAAGATTCCTCTATATTTGTTTTGGGATGAATTATTTGCAAATATAAACAATCGTGCTTAGTAATTAGTGGTGCTTTTACAAAATCTATTGCACATTTTTTAGAAAAAGTAATTCCAAATTGGTTGACTAACACTCCGTGACAGAAATAAAATTTATCAATCCAATGTAGTAAATTTACTGATGATGTATCACTTAACCATTTTTTAAAAGTCAGCTCTTTATGCTTATGCGTAATGCCAGGAACTAAGCGCTTAGTAAATCCGTTAATTTTATGATGGTCTAGAAGTGTGAAAATAGGGATGACATCTTCATAAGATATGATTTCAACTACATTATCCTCATATAAACTTTTCATCCACTTGGTTAAATCTTTCGGCGATTGTATATTATTATCAGATGTTTCAAAGACAAGAAAGTCGTCTACTATTACATTTTCCATAGGATTTTCTTTTAATGAACGTGATGCATAGAAAGCCCATGCTAAATGTGATTTTAAATCTTCAACTTGATCTAGTTTCGCATTATCAAAATTTCTAATAATTAATCTTCCTCCGACAAGTAGTTTATTGACAAAAAAATGGCCATATTCTGTACAATAATCGTTATAGAATTCTTTTTCATTGCGAAAATCTGATTTAAAGTTTTTATGCACCTCTCCAGTATATGTTACCTTGGCAATTGGAAATAAAATGCATATATCTGTCTCAGGAACATAATTGATAGAATTCTCTTCAATCATCGGAAAATTTGGATTAGCATCTTGCAATTCTTTCCAGGTTGATATTTGTTCTGAATTTGATGAATTGGACGTATTTCCACATGCAACGTATACAAATGGTTCATCTGTGTAAACCTCGAAACTTAATTTTCCATTATTGTTTAAAATTGGGTTATTACTTGGTTTAAATTTGCTGCCCGCCAAATATAAACCATTATTTAATTTCCACTCTTCAATTAAAGGTTGATCTTCCAGTTGATTTAAACATTCAAGAAATTCTTTAATTTTGGGTAGCTTGTTAGGATCATCATCCAAGCATTTAATGTTAAGGCTAAAGTATTCGTATGGAATATCTTTTGTGGATGTTTCTCCATATCCACAGAGGGTTTTGGTACGAATATTTTCCATGATAGATTGAGAAGGCAATTGACCATTAGAAATTTCCCAGAGAATAACACCAAGACTGAAAATATCATATCCTTCGTCTCGTAGGCGTGATGAATCCTTGTAGTATAACGGTTCGATGTGAGCTGGTATTTCTGTTTTATTAGGCTGATTGAATAGCAGTCCAAAACCTGTAATGACCACTTGTTCTTTATCAATTAAAATGTTCTTGGAATTCTATAAATAAGTCATTTATATACATAGTAAATTTTATATACATTGTTTACATATAATTAAACCGGATTTTTCAATTATCAGATACTATTAATAAAATAAAAAACTCTCACAAGATTACGGTGAATGACGTCTCTATAGTGCAAAAATGCAAGACCTTGTGCTATTCCTTTTGTGATGTGTAATGCTTTGGTCCAATTTAATATTGAAAATTTCTCTTTCAAATATTCATGCAAATTTCCACCATCGGTATATTGCAAAACCATAAAATAATTGTTTAACTGATCTAAATGATAACATTAGAATTTTATTAAATTATTCATTTTTATAATTTTTAGTAGTTGCACATATTATTATTACTCGCCTTTTGTTAATGCGTAGAATCCAATAATGTTCGGGTGTGAACAAACTTTTTTCAAGTGTTGAAGCTATAAATATAGGAAAACAAATTAAAATCTAAAAGAAATCATAAATCATGGTAATTAGATGAGATACAATACCTCTTTGACAATCTTTTCATCAGAATATGTTTCAACTTTTAGTTTCTCATGTACAACTATTAAGCCTGTGTCTTTCCATTCGAACCCACCTACACCAGTCTTTTCATTCAAAATAAATTCATCATAGTCAATATAGCTAAGTTGACCTTCGTAAATAGCTTTTTTGAACGATTCAATTGAAGAAGTTGCCATTCTATTTGGGGGTAACACAAATAAATCAATATATATAAAAGGATACGTACGTACGTACACACTTAAATTTGCCAATTAATTATATTTGTGAAAAACTAAAATTACACAAACTAAAATTTGCCAATTATTGTCGTGGATAACTAAATTCACACAAATTTGGTATCTTGGTGTACACAAAAAATAATAAATAACATTTATATTCGTGCGTACAAAGATGCCAAACTCTATCATTGAAAAAAAGCTACAATTATGAGTAAACTTTTAAATATTTTTAACCAGTTAATAAGACCACAAGTCGATCCCACTATTGAAGAAGAAGTTATGATAAATGTTAATATCGACGATGAATTAGCGGAATTAAAATTGAAAAAATCATATAATCTAAAACAAGTGAGAGAAGAGCTCAAGACAAAAGAATTGATAGAAATAGCGGATAAACTTATTTTCATAGGACGTAAAAGTGGTAAAATTCCTGTTGAGAGCGAAGAAGGACTTAGATGTGCGGATATCCTGGACGAAGAAAAAAATACGATCTATCTTAAAAGGTTAAAATGGTGCATATTAGGAAAAGAATTCAAGCTTGGAAATGGACGCACTACCACTTATGAAGTAGCAACTAAAAGAGCATTTATTGTTGAAAATTGTGAACTACTTAAAGCCGATGACCCCATTGTTGATCATAATGAAACAATAGAATCTCGTGAAGATGAAATTCGGAATAGAAATTTATTATTTACGACAGATGTAGAAATTAAAAATTTAGCGAAATTAGCCGTATCAATGGGATCTAAAAAAGAAAAACAGAACCATTTTGAGTCTTCTTCAATAAAAAAATACAAAAAACGTAGTAAAGAATGTTTGAAGATCATTAAAGTAATTCCAACAGAAGAATTTAAAAATGCAGTGAAGGATGCCATTGACTCAAAAAGCATATATAAATTAGAAAGGATCAAAGATGATTTTGGCTATTTCATTCCCACAATAATTAAATTTGGTGGAATATTTCGTTACGAAAACGAGGCATTAGAGACCAAACATTCAAAAAATAAGAAAAAAAATGCTTCGATAAAGTTGGGGGCTAATGATCAAAAGCTTGAACTTGAGCATAATAAGAACGTGTTTTATGAAAAAGAAAACAAATCACAACGCGAAATTTTGGAAGTTTATGGTGGTGATGAGGAGAAACTCAAAAGAGATAAAAACGAAAATGCATGGGCATCCTCATTAGATGATTTTAGAAAATGGAGGCCGATTGACTTTCAAAAACCTAAATCCATATTTCATTATCTAAGCGAGGATTTGCAAAATGATATCATGAAGCTATTTGGAAAAAGAATACTTTACGCCGGTGAACAAAAGCTTAACTTCGTATACAATGATCCTGAGCAAAATTTATTACGTAAGTTAAAAATTCCCCTAGATATTTTTTCAAACTTTAATGATGATTGCCAGATTTTTGCAACAGTCTCTAATATTGAAGATAGTGATATCTTCACTTACAGGCTAAATGCTTCAGATAAAGATAACGTAATATGTATTCATTGCATTCAATGCAGCCAGAAAAAGAAACCAAAAAATTATGATATCATTATACGCTGGATAGTTGTTGGATATGATTTTGATTTTAATTATTTACCATCAAACCTTAGCTTTCGACTTCAAAGTTTTAAAGAAAAAATTAATCCAAAAAAAATTTCAGAATCAACTAATAATCATATTTTGAAAATATATGAGCGAAATACTTCAGAATTCTTTGGCAGAGATCACCTATTAGGCATACCCGTATTTAAAAATGTGGAAAGTAAATATGATTCGCTGGTTATTGGGAGTCATTTTTGCAGGTGTAACGACAAGATCAATACATATATTTATGGTTATGATTTATATAAGGAGAAATATTCAACATGCGCAACTTTACCAGATTTAGAATTCAATTTTCTTCATTTTTTGGACCTTCCCGATAGTACCATATTTGATCAATTTCATATTGAGTATCCTAGAAATAATAGGAAAAAAGAGAAGATTAAAGATTTTTTTATAAGGGATAAAAATGATCCAAAATCAAAATTTGCCAACTTATATTTATTAAATTTACTTGATGAAACGAAATGCTCTCCGAAATTTATTGGCCAAAATAAAGAAGAATTTGTTATGCACCAACTTGGATGCACCTGTCAAGGTCACGGATGTGAGAATTCTAACCATTTTAGCGAAAAAGTAATTTACCAGGCTGAATATTTTAGCCCAAATATTACCTATGAGGTTCGTAAAAATAATCACTTTAATTGTTGAATATGCAAGTATAAATATTGCTAATCAATGCTATGCTCTGTAGAGAATTGAAGAAATTTCTAATTATAATGAGAACTGATAGGTTACTTGCTATTTGCTATTTCGTTATTTCGAAATTTCATGAAATTTAAAGAATTAAAAATATATAATCCTTTTTTTTTATAAATCAATTATTACGGAAAAAGTTGATGAATTTATATACTTGATATTGAGAGCTTAAGTACCAGAGATGGTTTTATTCAAGCTCGTAAAAGCGCAGCGGATAATTGAGAAGTCTCATATTAAAAAGCCAATTATGCTCATTTAATATGAGACTTCAATTTAACTATAGGTATGGATGCTATTCTTACTCTTATATAGAGTAATGAGTAAAGAAAATGGTTAAATAATTAGCTATATGAAAATTTTTTATTTACTAGTATATTTATGCATTAATATCGTAAGTGAGAACAGAATTTAAGTTGATTTGGAATTTTTAAGGTTAGGGTTGGGATTTTTAGTATAATTACTCCGTTCTAATCTAAGGTGGATTCCGAACTTATTATGGTTTTATTCCCACTTACAACATATATAAACGTATAGTTTACTTTATTTGTTTATAATAAAAGTTTTTATTTTACATTTTTTATTTTCTCAAAACGATGTATCATGAAGTTCAGATGATATTCCCAGTTCAATACATTCGATAAAAATCAAAAAATCGTGGTCACACCTTGATAAAATTTTGTCATTTATTAAGTCAGTAAGGCAACAATTATGAAGCATCTTGTTTCACTGTCCAGTATATTAAATGACCCTGAATATGGAATATTTACCCGAGAAATTAGTGGATGAATCGGCCTCGGTTCAGAATTAGTTAAATAGATTAACATTGTAACAATAATAAATGTAATAAATAAGCGAAGATAAAACTTGACTTTTTTTGATTGTAATATACAATACATATATGGGACCTACAGCAAAGGGGGGCAAAAGAAGTTTTGCAGAATTAAACCAATTTTTGAGGACCGATCTACATAAATCGAAAAAATCAGCCCTTATCAGTTATGATATAGTAATGTGTCGTTTTGTAATATACGTACGTACGCCACATGGCATAAATAATAATGTAAATTATAGTTATCTCAGCAGCCCTAGCATCGCCTACAAAAAAATGCAGCTTACGTCACAGTTAAAGCTCCGAAGCACAGTAACGATAATCCAATAGTAATTTGTTATTACTAAAAAGCTCATTATTGATTCTGAGTTTTAATTATGACGTAAGCTGCATTCTTTTAATATTTTTTTGTGGGCGATGCTAGGGCTGTTGTATTACTGTATTATCTCAGGACCCGAACAATCTATATAAGGTCATATTTGAAAAATAGCTAATATAGGACCTTTTTTAAAAAAAGTTTATATTTAAAAAGTAGGTATTGGGTAAAAGGTTATATTTGAAAACAGATAATCACTAAATAGGATATATTTGAAATTATGCTAATAGAATAAGTATTATAAATCTCATATTTGAAATGTGCTAATATAAAAATAAAGTAAGTTCAGTTTTTTTTTTTTTTTTAGAGTATGTTATAGTATTTTTTTTTTTAGAGAGCATACTTATATTTAAAAAAAGATAAAGAAGACTAAAATTCTTATCTAATATTTGAAATATATATTATATATACCAATATAATAGTTCTAACAAAAAAAAATTTACGATGCCCAAATATAAGCTCATATAAATTATTCGGGGCTTATTATCTCATATGGGACCCCGTAGCAAAAGTGTCAAATTTGAAAATCAAAAATCATCGTCCCTAGTTTAAGACAGGTTTTAAAAGTTCTTTGCCTGGCTCAGATTTGTTGTGCCATCTTTTGAATTGGTTTAATTGATTTGAAATTTAATTCAATGTTTTTCTTGAAGTTTCAGTTTCCGTTTTTGCCTTATTTATACGGGTTAAGCATTCAATACATTTTTTATATTATTTTCAAATTCATTAATTTGTTTTATAATTCGACAGGATAAACAACATTTTGAATTCGATTGGGTTAAATAATCGGCTTCCATTAATTAAATTAAGGAATTTTTAAATAATACCTGTTACCAGTGTTGGGTTTGGGACGGGACACGAACATGGGACGGGACCGGACATGTCTGTCCGGGACATAATCTACAAAATTTAATATCCCGGACAGTGCATATATAAAT